TGCAGGGATGATTTCCTTTCCTGACAGAGGGCCGGATGTCAGCCTCTGTTTTGCTGTTTGCTTTCGGCTGCCATTGAAACGGGGAGGGGGGCATTGTTTGTGGGTGGGGAAGTGTCAGCACTGGAGAGACTGAATAAAGGGAGGCGCTCTCACCATCTACTGCGCATGCACAGATAAAGGATTTGCCACCCAGACCAACTGTCCGGCATACCAGCCTGATGATGTTTTTTGAAGATGTCTTTCACATGACACCTGTGGGGTGTACTGATTGGACTATGGACTAAGGTTACCAGGGATAGGGGGTTGGGTCACATATTGATATCTATGAATGGAGTTGAGGGGTTTCTTTCTTGGTTATTGAGTGAAGCAGCCTTGACACATACATACGTACGTGTGTGTGTGTGTGTGTGTATAAATCTAAACGTGTTAATATTAGAATTATATGGATTGAAGAACTGGAAAGAATATGAATAGAAATACTCTAAATGTATAAATGATAATGATTCATACTAAAACTGTATATAAAGAGATATTGAGTAATGGAAGAATAAAGGATGGAACTTTGATTTAACTAAGGAAATATCTACAACAAAATAGGTGGAAAACACTTCTTTGAATATTATAGCAATATGAAGGTGCGGGGAGTTAAAATAGGGATAGAAAATACCAGGGAGAAATAATTGTATATTAATATGTTAAGATATAGAAAAGGACAGAAATATGATTCAGAAATGAAGGGTGATAATAAAAGGCATGTTTAATACATGGCCCTCCCAAGCTCCGTTTTCACTGGCAGAGGGTTGCAGGAGCCTGCTTTTGCTGCGTCATAGGCGCCAACCGAGTGACGTTGATCTGGCACGCCACCGGGCCACAAACACACACACCCTACCCAGGTCAAACACAACCCTAATGCAGTCCTCAGTGAAATTGAGTTTGTCACCCCTGATGTAGTTTCTTTCTCACAGATACCAGTATAAAAGTCCTGAATCACTTATAACTACTGGACTATGAAAGTCTCCAATTTGATTTTGGACACCATTCACATCTTCTCCTTAGTTGTCCTGACTAATACCATTTATTCAGTCTTCCATTTATCTTGACATAGACTTCTACAGCATTGCCAAGTTTATATATTTGTTTTGAGCATATTATAATGCACCTTTCTTTCCTTTTGGTTCAGTTCCTTTTGAACAATTATTGTCTTCGTGTCATGATAGTCTTCTCACCAAGTCTCTGTATAATCATTTGACTATACATTCCTAAGACCACAAGCTTATTCCATTTGTTTTTCATCTGCTGGAGATTAATAAGATGTACAATAAATCCCGTAATTTTTCATTGAAAATGAGATTCCCAGTCCTTGGGAGATGTATCCTATCTCATGCAGTGGTCTGTTATGAAGGCAACACAAACCGTGATCTTAGAAACCAACTTTCTCCCATCAATTTCAAAGTGAGGATAACACCAAGTCACAGCATAGATTTCTGCCACTTTAATTCTCTACAAAAATTAAATCAATAAAAGCAGTAATATTTCTACAGAAAAAAATTCATAACACATATGGCAAGGTCACAAATGCCTAACAATGTATGCCATATTTCTGGACATTAATGTGACCCAGGTACCTTTCTTTATGCCCACCAAATTAGCTGTTCCTCTTGTTTGTTATTAGGATTCTTTTAATTAAGGAAAAGTAATCAGGAAGATGGCATGCTGCCAATTGAAGCAACAGCCTATTTAGTATAGGAATTCCTTTGGAGTTGCCCTGGTATGGACCTCTGCGAGTGAGATGGCAAAGTGGTGATGCTTCCATGAAAGCAGAGCCAACAACCACAGCAAAGACCAAAGCACAGGTGAGTAGACTGGTTCCTTGGAAACTCTTCAGAAAAGACTGGAGATCATTTAAATGTGCTCTAGACAGCTGCTCCTTGTGAAAAGCCTGCAAGACCAGTTTTCCACTGGTATCAGCACTGGGAGACGAAGGGATTGGCCTTCTTACTCACACTGAAGACACTAACTTTATAAGGACACCAATGACATATTACTGTCCTTATAGACCGACAAGGTTACACTAAAGGACATAAAATTTTTATAGGAGAGCCTCTTTGGTGTCAATGGTTAAGGCATCAGATTAGAAACTGGGAAACCAGGAGTTCTAGTTCTAGTGGGCACAAAATCAGCTGCGTGACTTTTGGCCAGTCACTTTCTCTCAGCCTCTCAGGAGGCAACAGCAAATCACTTCTGAAAAACTTTGCCAAGAAAACTGCAGCGACTGATCCAGTCCCCAAAAGAATTGGACACAACTGAACAGAAGGAAAAAAAGGTTCACAAACCTGACTTTCTACCCACTTTTTGAAACTGCCTGTTATCCATTAAGAGACTTTCAGAACAAGTTTGGAAAGTCAGCAGGTAAGTTTAGCTTCGACTCTAAACCAAAAAAAATTAATTACAAATCTAAAAATAGAAATTAAAATAAAAAGCAAAAGTTACATAAAATTTTGATCTGAGAAAGTTACCAACAGATTAAGAGCCCAGTTTAGTAACTTTAAATTTATATGCTGCCCTTTTCACTCTTCATTGTGCCTCTGGGTGACTTACAACAGCATAAAATCATGAATATATAAGAATTAAAATTAAATGAATTATCTTGGTGTATAATAAAAATAAGATATTTTATGATTTGGACCAAAAATTAGAAGGGACTAAAGACTTTTAAGTACAAGGCTTATGGGGGCTTACAAATGACATAAAATGTTATAACATTGGAAATATTAAATATTTTTGAACAATGGAACTAGAAATTAGTACAGTATCAACAATGTCAGTAATCATGTCCAATTTTATGCATAGAGTATGGCGAAAATATGTCAATATGTCAGATGTGGACCAAATTTTGTCTGGCAAGACAAAGTACTGAAAGTGGAAATAAAGGTAGTCCTCAAGTTACGAATGCAATGGAGCCTACCAATTACATTCATAACCCGAGGATTCATTGGAGTGAATCACGTAAAATGAACTAGAAAATTCCCTGCTTTTGCCTACACATCTGTTAATCCAACATACAGGTTGTTAAATGCACATGAGGTATCTCGGGGTGGGGAAGGCCAGGGGGTGGAGAGCTAGTGATGGAAAAGACCACCTACTTAAGACCTCTCAAGACCTCCTCCCAACCCAAAGATATCTCATGTTCCCCACAATTGCTTCGCCCCACCCACATCCTGCTGCGCTGGGTCACTTGTGAATATTTAGTGAGCTGTATCCTCGTCAGCCTCTCTGCTGTGCAAAATCACAGCCCTCAGAAGTTTCCAGTCTCAGTGCGCAAAATGTTTGCACACCAACAGGAGGCTTTAGGGCAGGGCAAAGCATCCCATCAGCTTGCAAACAGTTTGGGCACCGAGACTGGAAGTTTATGGGGGCCGTGATCTCCTGCAATTTCAGGCACCCATCTGTCTTTGTAGAGAATGGGTGCCTGAAATAACGTGAGGTCATGGACCCCAGAAGCTCGAGTCTTGGCTCCCGAACTGTATGCAAGCCAATGGGAGGCTTTGGGGTACTGAAATCACGCTGCCTCCAAGTGTCCCATTGGTTTGCAAACACTTTGGCAAGCCTTTGCCGGCCAGAATGGAACATGACTGGGATGTGCTGGCTCCTCCCGGGCTCCATTCTTGCCAGCAAAGGCTTTTTGCAAAGAGACTAGAGCCCACAAGGATACAATCTCCCTGCAGGCTTCAGTAGGGAAATGGCAAACGGAGGGAAGGCCTGAAGCAATGAAGCCTTCCCTCTGTTTGCAAAGCCTTTTGCGCCTCGATTCACAGAGAAGAGATGCCTAAAGTGTGCAGGATCAAGTGAGATCAGTAACATGAGCTCTCGTGATACTTTAGGCCTCTGTTCTCTGCAAATGCCTGAAGCAACAAAGCAGGCAAAGAAACTGAAGGTTCACTAGATCTTTGCAAAGGAAGGGAATCTCCACAGGCCCAGGACCTGTGGAGACCCGGCAGGGGGGACAGAGAACGTTCCTAAGGGTGAACAACTGCTTTGGTGCTGCAATACCTGTAACCTCGGGACTGTGTCATAAGTACTTGGGGGGGGGGTGTAACTTCAAATTGTCGCTAAGTGAGCTATTGTAACTTGACAATTATCTGTATAAATATTCCAAAATTATGTTTTGGAAAAGGATGTTTATTGGATTTAGCAAAGAAATTGGTTGAAGTGTTAAAAATTAAAGGGAAAATACAAATAGCAAACCATGAAAATAGCAATAACAATAGCAGTTAGACTTATATACCGCTTCATAGGGCTTTCAGCCCTAAGCGGTTTACAGTGTCAGCATATTGCCCCCAACAACAATCCGGGTCCTCATTTTACCCACCTCGGAAGGAAGGAAGGCTGAGTCAACCCTGAGCCGGTGAGATTTGAACAGCCGAACTGCAGTCAGCTGAAGTAGCCTGCAGTGCTGCATTTAACCACTGCGCCACCTCGGCTCCTGAAAATGTGGAAAATGTTTTATTGAATCTACAAAAGGAGCTTGTTAAACCCTTGATGAAATCTGAGTAATTGGATAAGTAATTTGGAAAAGGATGTTTATTGGAGTAATTGGATAAACAATTAAATCAAACGTTATGTCAGAATTTCAATAAACTCAAGAGTGACTGTTAAAAATAAAATAAAAGAGCATAGAGTTGACTTATTTGATCAAGGTTAAAATAAGACATTTATTTCCAAAGTTCCGGCAGCCGTTTATGGACTTTTTTTGCTGCCACCAGAATTGAAAAGTTTTATGGATTTGCTTATTGTTAAAGGAAGGGATGTGGGATATGGACAAATCTATTTGTAATCTTGGAGGGGATTAGGAGTTACTAAATTTGTCTATATGTGTGATGAAGGTTGGAAGTTATTTATATATTTATTTCCTCTTTCTTCACTATATTCCTAATTTTTTTTGCACTTTTTATTCTATTTTTTTCTTTATTTTATATAGTTTGTATTAACTTTTACTATTCTAATCAAAATCCTTAATAAAAATTATATGCAAATACATTTTAAAAAATGCCAGAGATGCCTGATCGCTCATCCTCAGCCACTCCACAGGCTGTCAGGGTGCCCAGCTTGCTTTTTGACTAGAGCTCCTGGCAAGCCCTTGTCCTGGAGCAGTTCAGATCGTGCTGAAGGCCAGGCAGGGAGGCAAGCAGGAAATGCTGGCTCCCCCCTCCCTCGGAAGTAGATTCAGCAGAAGAGGACATGCCCATCAAGGAAGAGGCCATTAGCAAGGAGGGTGATTTATGGGGCAGCAAAAGGTTCTTCGTCAGCATTTTGATGGCTTCTAAGATGTTTATGTCCTAGAAGGAAATAAGGAGGATTAAGAAGGATGTGATGCACTTAGGAGATACGTTAAAAAGGGCATTGGAAGAAGGAAGCAGACTGCAGCAATTGGGGCTATTCGCTTGGACAGAAGAGGAGGCATCAAAGGCCTATAAACCACAAAGCCACATCAAGAGGGTCTTTGTGCGACATCACACAGGGATTGGCTGAAATTGAACATAGGACGTGTTATTTTACAGAGCACCACAATTCTGGTAGCAGTGGCCAACATGGGTGACTGAAAGGAAACATGCCAGTTTCACAGTGGATCAGCCCATCTGTGGCCACAGAGCTTTGCCCCTCCCGAAGAAGCAACTGTGAAGTGAGAATGAGCAAGGCGTATCCTGCCTGCCAATGGGAGCCTCCCAGAAGCCAGAGAAGGCTGGACTAGATGGCCTCACGGCTCTTGCACACCTTAATGCAAAGTGAAAGGCAGATAGTGGCGCTCCTGGACTCCTTTCATGAGTTCCTAAGGGAGTCTGCCTTTCTCCCAGTGGCAGCATAAGGTGGATGAGACCCGACTGAGCCTCCTTTCTTCTCAAGGGCTGCTCTGATAAGGGGGTAACTTCTGGTTACAGAGGAATAGGGGAAAACCTCATCAAAGTTGGGAGCCTGAAAATCTACAAACAGTTAAGGGAGGTGTTCTGAGACTGCAGCTGCACCTTTACTCTGTGCAACATTCATGACAGCTTGTTTTTCTCCTGCAAAAGGCTATTTCCAGGCCCCCAGACCTTCTGGACTACGATTGCCAGTTTCAAAAAACAGTCAGTAACCCAGAATGCTGGTTTGGCACAATGATGGGGGATCTTCCCAGAGTCTTTTGAAAGTGGCTTGTGTGGACAGAGCAGCTCGCGGGTGGACAACTCCAACATTGGACAGTGAGGCACCTTGGGACCTGACTAGCAGAAGTGCTGATAGTGGCAGTTTCCAGGCTAAGGGTGGTATGTCCTGACTTGTGCGATTGACGGAGAGGTCTCGAGAACAGCTGGGGGGCCCGGCTGTTAATAAGGGACTGGAGTCCTTTCCTTCTTTAAATCTTTAGGGCTTCATAATGGGGACAAATCGGAAGTGATACATTATTTCAACTTTCAGACTTCCGACAGAGGAAAGCCATTCTTTGTAAGGTCAGACAATCTTTGCTACTACAAATGGATTTAATGAGCAAACCACAATTGTTAGTCGGTTCCATACAGCGTGTTGTGCCATAAACCATGATGGCTGGCTGGGTGCATACAGCATGCCCAGGCACAGGCCACAGAGAGAATTGGGGATTGTCATGATGTGTTAGCTCAATGCCTGCAGAACAAGCAGGTACTACAAGCCCACATCTCCCTCGGATCTCTCAAATCACACCGCATCAACTGGTATAAATGGGCCCATCCTCTGGGGCCACAAGAAAAATGGGGAGGGGCATCCGAGGCTCATTGGGCAGCACCCCAGTTGCTTATTTCAGGGCTTCCACTGAGCGTTTCCCCGTGAGCTGCAGGGAAGAGGGCGGCGGGTCAGACCCCTCTCGGGCACTTGCAGCACCCTCGGTTTGTTAAAGTGGAGTTTGCCGGCAGGCGGGCTGGGCCCGGGAGAAGGGGTCTTCCGGGCCCCGGCGGCTCCCGGCTCCCTCCTCACCTGTTTCACCGGGAAGCGGCCGAGCTCAGCTTCCCCGGAGCTCCATCTGGCCCGGGGAGAGCAGGGGGGTCTCGGGGTCTCCGCGGAGGCGGAAGGGGGGAGAGAAGCCGGGCTGCAGGAGAAAGAAAACTTGGCGCGGCAGGAGCGAGAGGAAGTGCGACAACAAAAGCGAGATAAAAGGGCGGCGGCGGCTCTCCCTCCTCTCTGCGCCTTTCTCTTTCTCTCTCTCCGCGCGGGTTAGGAGGGGCTGTTTTGCATCCCTTCACGTCAGCCCTGCCTCATTCCCTTCTTCCTTCCTGCGAGGGAGAGAAAAGGGAAAGGGAACTGAGGACGCGCCAGCAGCAGCAGCAGCAGCAGCGCCGCCGGAGCTCAGCGCTGCGGCAGCCGCCCGGAGGCCCCTCGCCTCGCCCGCGTCGAGTGGGGCTACGCGTCCCGCGGCCGAGCCTCTGCAGGACTCCCAGGGTGAGTTCGCCGGCGCCCCGGCCGGGCCCCAACCCGGCTCCGGGAGGCGCCGGGCCCGTGCACAGAAGGCCGCGCCGCGCCTGCCGACCGGCCAGGCCTCAGAGGCCGCCGCCGCCCTCGCCATCTCGGACCCGGCAGCGACGAAGCAGCGATGGCGCCGCGGGAGGAGGAGAAGGAGGCAGTCGAGGCGGGAGGCGGTCGGTCGGTCGGAGGGGAGCGTGGGGCTCGGCTCGGCCGCTGAGCACGTGGGGCGCCCGCCCGGCTCGCGGGCCGCTTCTGCCGGTGCAAAGTTTGCCAGGCCGGCGGAGGACGAGGCTCCCTGGGGACGCCGAGGCGGCGGCGGGTTACCTGTTGCGGCTCCGAGCCGCGGCCCTTCCTGCCCGCCTCCCTTCCGGCTCGGCGCGCTGAACCTCCCCTCGAACAGCTGATCGTCTCGCCCGCGTCGCTCGCTGCCCGCCGGCCCGGCCTAGCGCGGCCCGCCCGGAAGGCCGAGTGGCGCCGCGCTCTCGCGGCTCCCAGGCGTGGCGGGCCGCGGGCCCTGCGCGCCACCGCGCTTGAGCCGGGCGGCGACGAAGGGAGGGGGCGCCCTTGGCAGGACCTTCCGCCCGGCCCTGGAAGAGGCAGCGCCGCCGAGGCTGCCCGGAAGGCAGGGAACCGGAGCGCCTCGGGCAGCCGTGCCATGATCCCCCCGCCCCGCGCGGCTCCCGCCGCCCCTGCCCGGCCGGGATCCACTCGTGGCGGCCTCGATTGCCCGCGCGCTGCGGAGACGGCGGCGGCCAGTTGTGCCCTCCGCTCAAAGGGGCTTCTCCGTCCCCTCCCCACCGGGCGGAACGGGCTGTGGGGGAGGGGCTCTCCCAAGCCGGGGAAACGGAGGCTGGAGGCGACGCCCCGGGTGTCCTTGGCGGAGCTCGGCGGTCGTAGCGGTGGCGGAGGGGCGCCTGCTTTCCTTGGGCTTCTTGGCGGCGCTGGGGAAGGGCGTGGGTGGGCCGGAGGGTCGAGCCGCTTGGCGTAGTGCGGTCCCTGGATTAAGGCTGGGGGAAGGGAGGAGTGTTGCGGCCGCGGGGCAGAGTCAGGTGGCTGCGCAGGCGGAGAGGTGGGTTGGGGGGCCGCCCCAGAGAGGAGGATCTGCTGAGCCTCAAGGAGGGAGAGGCCTGGGGCCCATTCCCCCCAAGCAGGGCTGGGCCTCTGGTGGGGCATCCGCGGTCAGAGAGAGAAAACCCGCAGGTGGTTTTAGGGTAAATGATTGTCACGTAACTGCCCAGATGGACAGCGAACAAATTTAATAAAATAATTGGCTCGGTGCTGATATTCCACTTGCTTCTCAGTATGAAACCCCGGAAGACTTTTGATCTCTCCCAAGGTGAAATGATTGCTCAGAGCCCAGGTGTTGGTGGGGGCACCTCCTGCTTTTTGTCCTGGCTGAGACCTTCAGTGGAGCCTCCTAGAGGAGAGGACTGAGGGGAGGGGCGCTGTTGCTGAGGAACTTGAGGTACATCAGCCTCCTTCAATGTGCGTTGAAAAGACACCTCTTAATCCACAGCTTTGTCTTGCTGTTAGCACCCCTCAGCACCCAGGGGCTTCTTGCCATTATCTCTTGAGAGGGTTGTATTTTAGGGACTTAGCTAACTACTCCATATCCTCATTTTATAAAAGGCTGTGTCATCTTAAAACACAAGAAGGAAGTGTTTGCTTGTGGTGGCCATTCCAGGCAAAACCAAGAAGGAAGAAAGGGTGGCTGGACTCTCAAAAGGAAGAATGCCTCCTTCATTTCCCATATTACTGTTCCTGTTTCAATCTCCCTGGTGTTTCCTGTGTGTGTGGGAGGCAGGGAGGGAGGGAGGGAGAAGGGGGGAAAGCACAATTGCACATATGCCAACCTGAGGATTATTCTGCACCTTCAACAGATGGGCTGCTTTTTTCTTTTTCTTTTCTTAACTCTTAACTGTCCCCATCATTTCCTTTATGCTGAGAAGTCAGAGGAGCCTTCCCACTCCCCCCCCCCCCATTCTCTAGCTCTGCATCAGGAAAGGCTCAGGATAGGAAATGCATGAATCCAACTTGCCTCCAGAAGTTGAACTGAAACTAAAAGGAGTGAGCAGAGGAGGGGGAAAAGTGTGTTTCCTATTCAGAGACCTTTGCTTAACAAATTTACCAGCTATCTCTTGAAGACTAAAATATAGTTGTTATCTTCCTTTTCTAAATTTCTAGCAGTTCATTTATCTTTCTTCGCCCCATTGAAAAAGAAGGTTTTGGCATCTGGGATACCTTAGATATCTTGATTTGACACTTGTGCCTTTTAACCTCCATGGCCCAGCCCTAGAAAGGGCCATCAAAGCCATTGAATCTGACATCTGTTTCAATGCAGAAATCTCATTTAAAGCAGCCTCAGTCAGTCTCATCTCAGAAGGAGAGCCCAGCTCTTGACATGTGATTTGCCCAAAGCAGAAGAAAGTGAAACTCCACTGGTGCAATTGGACATTTACTTGCCAATTTTGCAGCAAATGCCCTGTGTCACATGCTGTCTTTTACCCCTTCCAAGATCTTTCTCATAAGTGATGCACAAGCCAGAGAACTACAACCTAGACCTGAACATTTGGTTTCTGTTTCGTGACAGAAGACCTGCGCACTTATCTTTTTGAATGTAATTGTTACTTTATTCCATTTTTCTATCACAAGCACAATTCTTCCCATCCAGTTTTGTGCATTTTGCAAATTTGATAAGCTGCTTCTGCCTCGTCATCCACATCAAGATGTTTTACAGCTACAGCATTCCTGCAATCTATTAAGGATGTTAACTAATAACAAAAATTAATTAGTCTTAATAAGATTTGTTCTTGACAAAACTATTAATTTAATTTGCTGAGAATTAATATATGTAAGATACTTGAAAGAACTCCAACTATCCCTAGATATTGAGTGGCTGTCCAGACTCTTAAAAGTCTCCAGTGATGGAGCTCTCACAATTTCTGAAGGCAAGCCATTCCACCACCACCCCCTCTCTCTCAGAGAGAGAGAGGGGGGGACAACTTCCTCTTTTGTCATAACAACTATAAAGAATTTTAACCTTCCCTTAAAATATAACAAATTATCTTTTATTCCTATATCCTATCTTTTATCTATAAACAAATTTTAAAGCCTCATCATTTCAGTCCTGATATCAGCAAAAGTTCGTTAAGGGTTACCAGAAATAAATAACGTATTTATTTTAAACATCAAATGAACCAATTTCATATTATTTTTAACAATCATGATCTTTTAGGCCCTTCAAATAATATCCTAAAACTTTATTTCTTTTCATTTTTATTTATCACTTTTCACAAAATTCTTAAAAGCTTTAACAGAACTCTTGTAAATCCAATATAGGAGAATTACCCAGGTAATTGGCTTATTTTGTTATTTGCATATCCCTTTTAATTATTAAGACATCAAGTGGTTTCTTTTGTATGTCCAATGAAGCACCTTCTTCCATATCTCATTTTTAAATCCACTTTTAGATCAGTCTTGTTTAGTAAAACTTCTTCCTGTTTCATTACTTCTTTTAAACATAGTTTGTCAATAGAGGCAGACACTCTTAACATGTTTTTTATGTGAATTCAAAACTTTTTCCTATGACAAGAATTCTTGTAATTAATTCCAAAATCTTTTTTCAGATCTATCTGGACCCTTAGTCCATTTGTAACATAAAAGTTTTAATCACCCTTTAGCTGCTCATTAAAAAAAAGTTATATTTAAACTTAAACTTTAAACATATTTAAAACTTATTTTGCTAAGGACTGAAGGAAACTTAACATATCAATCCAAAAGTTTCTAACAGTTGAAATTCATTTAACAATCATTTTTTGAAAATGATTACAAAAGGAATTATATGAACTTTCTGAGCAGCTACTGCAGTTTGAGCAAAGTAGCTGCCCCCTCACCTCCCAGAACTCCAAACTCACTGGAAATTACAGCCTTGCGGTCTCCTCCTCCTGGGAAGCAAATGTGTGGAGCAATCTCAAGCCCTCTCCTTGTTCAGAGAGGAGTTGGGCAGAATATAGGGGCATCCCGTAATGAACATTAGGAGAAGAAGGAATGGCCTAGGTGTGTGATCCAAGAATTCCACATCCCCATATACCAGACATGTCAAACTCAAGGCCCATGGGCCAGATGTGAGATCTGGCCCACCCCAGCCTGGCCAGGTGCTCCCCCTGTATATGCGCACAGGAGGCGGCGAGTGTGTGGAGGCTGGCACATCGCTGACCTGTGATGAGCACTGTGTTGCCCCAGCAGCAGCTCTCTGCCTGCCACCAGCACCTCCACCGCCTCCATGGCCCGCTCGCTGACCTAGTCTTGCTCACTGGGCCCCACAGCCCGCGAGCACTTCCCTTTCATTGGGATGATCCCCAACCCCACCCCGCCCTCCGCCCTGCCCCTTTGTGGGAAAGCGACAGCCACCAGTTTCCTCTGAGTCCAACATCTGCCTTGACAGGTCTCTGGAGAGGTGGGGTGGGAGCTGCATGAGGAAAGGCTGCCCCAACAAGCCAGCATTCCTACCACACACACGATTGGAAACGGGGATTCCCTTTCAAGAAGAGCCAGCTTCCCTCCTGCAGGACCAGGAGCTCCCCTGTCTGCTCCTCTGTCAAGGCAGAAGTTGCACTCTGAGGAAGCTGCTTCCTGCAGACTTTCTCCTCCTCGCTTCCATATGCAGCATCGTCTTCCTCTGCCTCCTGCATTGTTGGGAGGGGGCACCGGACAGGGAAACACCAACAATGTCAGATTGGGAGAAGAATGTCTCATTTGGTGTGCTGTATGCGCACGCACGCACACACACACACACCATTCCAAGCTTGAGACTTTTACCCACATCTGAGCTTGCAAACTGCCAATCATACCTGGGCTTGGGAAAAAGGCCGTCCCCTTCCCCTGTGGCTGACACCAGTTTGGGAGGCGAGGAGCTTGTGGTGCACCGAATTGTCCCCATGTTGAGTTAGCTGGTCTGACTTTTTTCCATCCCACCAATCCAGGTGTCCCAATTCAGCCATGCCCAGTGAGTGGTATCAAGCCAGCCATACCCTCCCAGCCATGCCCACCTAGTCGTGGTGACCCAGCTGTGACTATCCAGCCACGCCCACCTTGCCACTGTGAGTTGTCATAGTCTTATATCCATCTGGTCCTTTGATGGCTGCCATAATGCTAATGCAGCCCTGAATGAAATTGAGCTTGACACCCCTGCCATACTAATACAGGATGTGGAGAACTAGTCTTAATGCAGGAAGGGAAGTGCAATTTAGTGGGGAGACCTGGTAGGGAAAACCTGCAACTGGAATGCAAGAACTGAAGGGGAGCATTTATTTGACAGGAATATCCCAAGCAAAGGAGGAGGGGAGGAGAAGGAGCATCCTATGTGAAAGATGATGGGCTCCTAAGCACTCAGATGCAGAATGAGCACTGAATCTCCAGCTGGCAGTGATTAACAACACAAGGAGATGGAAAGACCACATC